GTTACCTCAAATTTAGGCAGAACTGGGAAGAAAATAGCCATTGGTATTCTTGCTTCATTACAAATCACCAATATGGCAAATAAAATTGGTCTTAACATACCATATCTCTCCACCTTGAAACTCTGAATTATTTTGTCTTCACCAGCTGACGCACTGATTTGGTAGGTTCCTTCACGGGCCTCAGAGCTCAATGAGTAAGAAAGCTGCAATATTTTACCACTGGATGTTTCATTCAGCCACTGTCCAATCCGGTTGTTGTTGGGATCCTGGTAAATAGGGAGGAACATGAGTCATCTCCAACAGAAACCTTGTTAAATGCAGCACATTCCCTCCACCCTCCCAAATTTTCAGCCAAGAGCACTAATCTGACAACTACAATCTGCTGCTGATAGCCCTAGAAACAGACAAGGTAAATTTGCTCCAACTTCAAGGTGGAAGAGAGACTTCCATCTGCCAAGTGTTTATATTTCTAAGGTCAAGAATGACTTTTGCTCATGTTTAATTGGGTTCCGCAAGTAATTTTACTGTACACAATTGTTCAAGCTGTTAGAATATTCTGTCAAAGAAGCATGGGTGTCACAACTGAAGTCAATTGCTACTTGTTAGCTAAAAATGTAGGGACATTTTCTTACCTCAACCTCGATGATGTTGTACTGCAAAAAAGGTAAAGAAAGTTTAATCAGTCCTTATACAGTTAGTCTGGTTAAATCTCTTTATTCAACAAGTCTGATGAGCAGTCACTGCTGTGGAGTTCTACAATTGATTGCAGAGCTCAACCCTTGCAAATTGATTAAGGTTAAACATGTGATCTTGCTGATGCTGTGATATGTTTTTACTTGGGTGACAGTTTGCTTAAAAGGCACCATGGTGTACCACCACTCACGAATTAAAGGGCCTGTAGCATGCTCCGTCCCAAGAACTAATCATCTTACGTGACCGCTCAAAACAAGGCGTGCGCATGTTGCAAGTCAAGGCATGTTTTGAACTCTGGCAATTAAATCTTATGCAGTAGTTTAGCAATTTCCCTGAATGTCTAACTCAAGGTCACTGACCAGCAACAGGAGTTGTGCATGTTCATAAACTATCCTCTTGTCAGGAGGTGGCTCTTGTGGATGTCTGATCAC